ATGCATGAGTGCTATAACTATAAGCCAACTTCTCATCAGATGGTTTTAAGAACGAAGGGAATGATCTATGCCAATTTTTTCCGTGAAGCCCAGTTATGAATTCAAATGTTCTTCATTTGCCACAGGACCAGCTTGCACTCTAGTGGAGTAATTACTGTACATATTTGTTGATTTATTATAACAGGTGTTGGTGCCTTATACATCAGAAGGAGACCACGGGTCAGGGTGGAACCTATTCAGAGTGGAGGAGGACAGGAGAGGTACAGTACATTTCTGGCACTAAGGTATATTGCCAAATAGAAAGGGAGTGTACATTTCTTGATTGTAATATTATGCACCCCTTATGAAATAGCTTGTTTTTTGTTGGTTTTTGTTACTTTCCATTTTGTCTGACTCCTCAAAAATTCCTCTTGTTTTAAAAGTTTTTGATGGTGATGTTGGATAGATTGATAAGAAGAAGTCTTCTTCAAAGCTAGTTTTTTTTTAATCATTATGGTTTGTTTGAAAATGTGGTGATTTTTAGGGGCATGCGGAGTGGTACAGTGCCTCATGTGTTGGCAGTAGGATTGGGTGCGGCTTGTGAAGTAGCTCTAGAGGAATTGGAGGTAATCTTCGCCAATCAGAACATGAACTTGTAAGCTGAGAATATTTGGTAGTTTTTTCCCTTCAGGTTGTCAACTCTAACTCCTAGTAAATAGACAGTAGGGTGTATTGTGGTGCTTACACCACAAGACATGAATTATTTTGAAATTTTTGTGATCGACTTTACACTCGCGTTTGTTCAACACGAGGTGACTCTACGGTATCATTTCCATTGTGAATTCATGGACTGGATTGTTAAAAAATGGAAAATGAACCTGTGGTGACGATTGTCTAAGACAGTTGCGTTACATTTTTGTCTATTTTTTATAAATTTTTCCCAAATTGTTATCTTCAACCAGGATCAATCTTCTCTATATTTAGCCTTGGCTTTTACTTATTGGGTTTCTTTTCTATCTTTTTCTGCATTTATTCACCTTGCAAGGCGTTACGTTAAGTAAAGTTACGTTAAGTAATTACGCATTACGTTAACTAACCGAAAATTTTGATCGACACAACTTGTGTAATGCTGGTGAAGATGTCACAATGAGATGCGAATTTGCCTTAAACTTGTCTGTATATTTACAATTCTACAGTATGACCACAAGAGGGTGACAGAATTGTCTAAGCGCTTGGTAAATGGCATCACAGATGGGTTAACCCACGTGATCAGAAACGGTGACCCGGATCATACTTATCCCGGATGTGTGAATCTGTCTTTTGCATTTGTGGAGGGAGAGAGTCTGCTGATGGCTCTTAAAGACGTGGCTCTTTCGTCAGGCAGGTGAAGACAACTCAGTGTGTAACACATGAAACTCTGCATCTCGAAAGATAAAGCATATTTGTAGAAGCATTTTAGTACTTTCGCACTCTGTATGTTTTTAGTGACTTGTAGAATGAATCCACTCGAAACATGCTAGTTAATGAGTTAGCAAAGCTTTTGTGCGATTTAAAAGGTAAATTGTGATTGAATTCAACTCACCCTAGAGTGCTTTTGAATGGAGAAAAATTTGGAATCATAGATGGGACGTAAGAAACAAGGAGACTTTATAGAGGACTTAAAACGTTAACCAAAAAAGTTGGAATCATAGATGGAACATGAGATACAAGTGGACTTTATAGAGGGACTTCAAACGTAAAACATTGAAATGGGGCGTGTATACTAGGACTACAAACATTACTGTTTTGTTTTGTTATTTTTTTGGGGAAAGTGCTTGTACGTCTGCCTCGTTGGAGCCCTCTTATGTCCTCCGAGCGATAGGCGCTGATGAAGATCTTGCTCACTCCTCTATCAGGTATTGTGAAAATCAATATCAATTTTTGCGTTAAATACCTTGACACTGAAAAGATTTGATACTGGAAGTTCCTGTAGTTTTTTTTTTTTCTTGTTTTATTTTTCCCTGCTGTTGTTGTTTATGCTAGCACCGCATTGGCATCGCTTGTCAAAATACATTGAAGTGTGAACTAATTTGCAAAATCAAAGCCCAAACGACTTTACGGCGAGTGAGTACACTTCTGTCCCTTGTATCTCTTTTTTATTTTCAGGTTTGGAATTGGACGTTTTACTACAGAAGAAGAGATAGATTACACCGTGGAGAGAACAGTTAAACATGTGAAACGTCTACGTGAAATGAGGTTTGTAGAATTCGTCTGTTGCCATCATCCTTCAGAGAACGATATTGGTTACGTAAGACACATTCTTGCCAGATATCGGAGCATGCGCACTTCAGGCAAAGGCGCATGTAAAGAAAAGTTAACCCATTAGGTAACCAACGCCATCTCCACAATCTATGAGTTGTTCTTGCGCGGTCGTTCCTCGTCGTGCTTTTCGTGGGACTGCTATGTAATTTGGATTTATTCACTGAGTTGGTAATGAAAATTGGCCACCGTTAAGAGTTTCTAAAGCTGACGTTAGAAGTGTTTCCCGTCTTTTGACAGAGCGGATGAGTAAAGGCTAACGCTCGAAAATAAGCTTTCGATCCTCTTAATTCTAGCCAATTTACATTATCATCTCGCTTGATAACGCCATGTTATCTCATAATACTTGGAGCTGTTGGTGAGAGTTTTTCTGACCAATCACAGTGCGTGACAAAGCCCTCTTAATTCTAGCCAATTTACATTATCATCTCGCTTGATAACGCCATGTTATCTTGTAATACTTGGAGCTGTTGGTGAGAGTTTTTCTGACCAATCACAGTGCGTGACAAAGCAACATTTAAATGAACATTTTTTAAAAATTCTCCACATCTTTCTCGTTGCAGTCCGTTGTGGGAAATGGTTCAAGAAGGAATCGATCTGAAGACCATCCAATGGTCACAGCACTGATCAGTCAGGACTCTTCAAAAGTCGATCTCAACATAGAAAATACCCTCACTGCTCTTTCCACTCTCCATGTTTGTTGAGGAAATTTGGTTGTGCAAGATTGCAGTTTCCTTTGCGATAGAAATCGTGGCAAGAGAGTATGGCTGCATACGAATCTTCGACAGAAAAAAAGAAGCCTTCATTTCTTTTAGATGTTTCAAATGTAACTATCATGGACAAAAAGGTCGCTACCAACGAGCAAGTCTGTCAGTTATTGGTCTAGGACATTGTTGACTGGGTTCAAATAAAGTTCAGGCAAAAGCTGCTCATAGACAAACTTTAATTTTAAAATTATGCAGTTTACTGAGGT